CGGCACGGCCCTCCCACACACGTGTCTCATGTGCTCAACGCACCCTCTCCTCACACATGTACACGTGTGCGCAGGCGGGATCTCAGGTGCTCAGCACAGCCCTCCGACACACGTGTACACGTGTATACAGGTGGGATCTCATGTGCTCAACACATCCCTCCCGCGCACAGGCCTCCCACACGCGTGGGTACAGACGTGCTCTTGTGTGCTCCGCACGTCTCCAACACGCATGCAGACACAGGCACACACATGTTCGTTGGGCCCGCAGGACACATGCACATGTGCTCGCACTCACATGCACAGGCGCCGGCACACGCACTCACACGTACCTGGGGGAGCAGAGGGATGGAATTACAAATATATGAGCAATATCGCAGCCCCAGAGTAAAAACATAATCCACAGTCCTGCTCCCCTGCAAATGGGAAAGAAACAGTACCAACATTGATGCTGTAGGGTGCAGAACCACCTGGTTCCATTCAAAATCACAAAATATTTTTTTTGGCATTTGCCAATGTGCACATGAGGGCTTCAGCCTGGGTGTGCTGGTTCCTTTTTTGCAAAGGTGTTGCATACAGTTTTCCATACTTAATAATATGGTTCTCAGGTCAGGCGGCTTTCTTGCAGTGTTGTCTATCGATGGCTTTTTTTCCCAAAGACAGGGTCACTGCAGTTGCACATTCCTACAGTTCAAGTCATCTCATCAGCCACAGAAATCCCTTTTTCATGAACTGGATGCATGAATACACACTGCGCCTATGTAGTGTTTTGCAGTGGCTTTAATTGCAGAATCTGGCTTCTGCTGTTTGCAATTCAGAGCTGCCTGTAAAGAGCTCTGCTCCTCACAGAGCAAGGCTGTTTGCAGGGGCACTCCCCCAGTCAAAATATCTTGGTTTTCCTTTTTGGTTTATCATAATATGTACATGCTGTAAATCTCTTGGAGAATGCTAAACATCTGTTTTTCCATTTCATTCCTGTTTAACAAGCACCATATTCTATTGCTCTCAGGAATGCAACGGTCATAGAGCTACATGTATTTTGAGATGTTCCTTGCCAGAGGTAGTTTGGCTGGGTGGGGTGAAGCAAACCCTTTGAGGCTATGTGAATCTGTTTAATTTCCTTTTGAATGTCTTCCTTTCTTTGCTCTCTCATAGGGTATCCGTCTGCTAACAGCTCGAGAAGGTGGAGGAGCCTGTTCAGATAGGAGAAGTGACGTAGGAGAAATGATAGACGGTAAATGTAAATACACTAGACCTCTGGTACATCGCAGGCATTCATGTGTAGTTCCACACTCGAAAGGTGGCATTTGTCCAGTATCTAATTCCTTTGTGTAGTGGAGATGCGGTGTGCCCAGCTGCCAATCGCTCCCAAAGGTTATTTGTGAGAGTGAGAACGCTGTCGTTCAACTCGTGACCGCAAGACCTGCCCCTTTAGACACAATTTCAGAAAGATGACCTGCTGCATTAGTACCTTTCTTGGCAGGGATGCTAGTGCTTTATTTGTGCAGTGGTTGAAACCTGTAGTTTATACAGGTCAGAGCTGCTCCCTGCCATTTCTGCAGGGAACAGCATGGCACAAAGAGGTGCCTCCTCTTTGGCCCAAACTACTACCACCCTGTCTACATTACAGAAATTTATTTTTGTCATAAAGATTAGGTCTTTGAATCCCC